TTCAGACCTGAATTGTTAAATTATTATAACTAGGCTCAAAGACATCTTTGTTTATTAATCAGCATAGGAGCTGGGACAATCCACACACTTTTTTGCCATTGAGAAGTGTTTTGTTTTGTTCTGTTTATTCCTGTGGCATAGAAATCTGAGTTTTGGAACTCAGCAAGCTCCAGGGAAGTGTTTCCTGCATCCTACTGGTTGTGCAAGTGTTTTCCCTGTAAAGAAATTGAGCAGCAGAGTTCAGTCTCCACATCCCATCGCAGCAAGAGGGACCTTGACTGCTTTTATCTCTACGTGTGAAGTGTGGCATGCATGTGCCTGCACACACAAGTGCTTTACTAATAATCATAAATTCGCAAAAGTGTGCATAATGCAATAATACTTATTAACTTAGTTGTTTTACAACAGCATTTATTAAGAACGAATTCCAGCCGGGCATTGGTGGCGCACGCCTTTAATCCACGAATTCCAGGGCTAACAATATGGCTCAGTGAACAGGTGCTTGCTGCCAAGCAATACAGCAGGAGTTCGATGTCCAGGACCCACATGGCGGAAGAACCAGCTCCCTCAAGTTGCCCTTGAGCCTCCACACATGTGCTATGGCATGTGCATTTGTGTGTGCTCACACACAATAAGGGCATGAATAAGGCAAATGGTGTATTCCAATGTCAAATGTCTAGTGTCAACAGCAACAACAAAACAATTACTTTTGCTGTAACTGGTCATACTCCCACTACCGCTATAAGTATAGGAAAGGGACTCAAGCTATTCCTGGGAAGTTTTGAGTCTTGGGTAATTTTCAGATGTTATCGTGGGTTTGTTTAGTTTGGGTTTGTTTGTTTTTTATTGCTTGCTTTTGTAACACTAAAGTTCATGCTCTCTTTTTAAATATGTTTTTATGTATGATGAATGGATGCAAAAAAATAAAATAAAATGGAGCAGAGAAATATAGTGAACCATAGTCTCCTCTCCTTCCCTCCCTATCTAACTATTTATGTCCCCAACTGACCTTGAACTTGCTGAGAGCTGATGACCCTGAACTCCTGGTCCTCTGGCCACCTGAGTGCTGGCATTCTAGGCTTGTGCCACCACACCTGATTTTCCAAAATCATCTCAAGCTGAAGAGATTGCTCAGTGGTTAAGGACACTGCCTGTTCTTCCAATGGTCCTGAGTTCAGTTCCCAGCAACCCAGAAACCACATGGTGGCTCAGATCTATCTATAATGGGATCTGACTCCCTCTTCAATGACATTATAAAATAAATAAATATTAAAAAAGAGAACACTTTGGGAGCCTTGGAGCACAGTCTATATGGGTATCAATTATTGCAAAGGTGATTTTTCTACCCAGTAATATTTGGTACCAGTGTCTGTGTTAGGATCTGAATGTCTGTATTCCCCCAGACACAGGAATCCTCACCCCAAAGCTTATTGGAAGGGTACATGACAAAATGCTTGGAATTCATGTCCCTGGAAAGGGGATCATTGCCACTTACACCTTTAGAGGACCCAGCCCCCGAGAGGCTGTGTGTGAGCAGCAGCCTGTCACCACACTCCGGATCTGTTCTGTTCTTGGAGTTCACGGTTGCAGAACCCTGAAAAGTAAATGCTTTGGGCAGTTGTGGTGGCACATATCAATGAACCTACCACTGGGGAGGATGAGACCGGAGGATTGTGAGTCCAAGGCCCAGCGTGTGATGTTTAGTTATAGAATATAAACAGCTACCCCATAAGCAAGCAACTCACAGGCACAGAAAGCAGGAGAGAGAGAGATGGGGGGAGGAGAGAGAGAGAATTAAAAGCAAAACCGAAAATTATCCAGTCCCAAATAGAAACATCTGAGAGTGAAAAAGTTCAGGTCTGTTTGTAAGAGCCCCTGCCAAGGTCAGAAACTGTATCCGCCACCCCCAAAAGTAACTTCCAAGAGATGCATAGGATGCCAAATGCTGAGAGCAGGAGAAAGCCATGAGGAAAAAGTCAACAGCAATGGGTCAACCCTACAGGCAGTCTTACACAGACTGAGCAGTTGCATTTATGGGTGGAAGGATATGTATGCGTGTATGTATGTATGTAACAACCACTGAAGAAAAAAGAGGCCATTCATTTGAGAGGGTAGTGCATGAGAGAGGTTGTGGGGGAAAGGGAGAGGGCAGAGTAATATGATTATATTATAATTTCAAAATGTACCATATTTTTAATAAGAACGGCGCTAGACTGGAGGTCACTAAAGCTTTACTAGCTAATGATACCCCCACAAGGGAAGGATGCATCTGTGTGTCCTCAGTGTCACTGAAAACTACTTTTTGTTGTTGTTGTTGTTTTGTTTTGTTTTTCGAGACAGGGTTTCTCTGTATTGCTTTGGAGGCTGTCCTGGAACTCACTCTGTAGACCAGGCTGGCCTCGAACTCACAGAGATCCGCCTGCCTCTGCCTCCCGAGTGCTGGGATTATAGGTGTGCGCCACCAATACCTGGAGAAAAGTACTTTTAAAAAAATGAGAAATGAAACTATTTTTTTAAATGAAACAAAATAGTAGCAAATGTGTCTAACCCAAACAAAGAAGAAATCTTTCTAACCTTCCACGTAGACTGCCTGTCTCCCTGCCCCCTGCTGTCCTGCCCTCCTCAGAGCCTCCCTCCCTCCCTCACCCCTGCTGACCCTAGCCTTGCATTCTCGGTCTCTGCACTCTCTAGCCAGATCCTACCCAGGCCCTCAGTTCAGTCTTATTAAATCCAGCAACCCTGTTTCTCTCCTTGTGTTTTAATTTTACTGTCCTTGGCTTGCTTCTGAGACCTGAGGAAGGTTTGTTGTCGCCTCTCAACCCTCCTCCTCGCCTTTCTCCCAGTTCTGAAACAGCCTTACCCCGGGATTCACTCCCTCCGCTTATCGCTCAAACTTTGCACTTCAAGGAGATATTGCCCTAGGCCTTACCTTCTTGATCTTCCTTTCCAGGGCCTCAGAATCTACAGGGTAGTGCTTGGGGCAAGTAAAAAAAAATGAGCTTGGTCTCTAAAGTGTGTGTGTGTGTGTGTGTGTGTGTCTGAGCATGGGACCCTGAGTGGCTTCACAGAGCACACATTCACGAAGCTGGCCCTGCTCCGGCTCATAACACCTTTAATCTGGGTCCTCTGAAGGCAAAGTCAAGCGGATCTCTGTGACTCTGAGGCCGACCTGTCTACTTAGCAAGTTCTAGGGCTTACACAGTGAGTGAGCTGCTGTCAGCCCAGCTATACAGGGTATTGAAGTGGGAGGAAGTGTAATTGGAGTTCAGCCCGGGCAACGTAACAAGACGCCTTGTATGGAAAACACCATGAAGGCTAGAGGAGGGAATGGTATATATCTCAGTGGGACTAACATGCAGGAAGCCCCGGGTTCAAACCCTACTGTCACCAACGGAACAATTCATCATCAGCAATGTGTACCTGTGTGCATGAGTGTGTGTGTGGGGGGTGGGTGTGTAGAGAGAGGGGGGGTGTTAAAGAGAGAGAGATTGTGCAAATGAGACTTAGTAATTGTCTTTCTCGTTCTGGGTTGCTAACACAGTGACCTCCAGGTTCTACCCATTTCCTCAAAAATGACATAATTGTGCTTTTCTTTACGACCGCACAAAACTCCATTGGGAATATAGACCACGGTGTCTTTATCCATTCACGTATCTGCTGACGGACATCTAGACTAATCCAATGACCCCCGGGCTCCTGCGGAAAAAAAAAATTGGAAACATGTGGGCCGGCAGGTATGCAGCATGCTAACTTAGATTCCTCCTAGTGGCTTTCCAGCTGACCTCTCAAGGTATAGCAAAGTCACTGTGTGTCTGAGTCCCACGTGGTCTCTGCCCACTGTTCCCCCGACCCAAACTTCTGAGACAAAGTGTCTCTATGAACCTGCGGAATTCTCTGTGCAGATCAAGATGGCCTGCAATTCATAGACATTCACCTGCTTCCCCTGTGCCCAGCCTGGGCATTTCTCTTATCTTGCTCCCTCCTCCCTGGGCTCTACAAGTTCCCAGTAGTACATGGGGGCTGGTCACTACACCTTCAGAGTGCCTCTCAAAGGGACTTGCTTCTTAGATCTGTACCTCGCTCTCCCCTGCACCCGGAGTCTGGCCACTAAGCCACACCACGCCTCAGGGCAGCACACTCTTAACTCCCACCCTGTTAGGATAAAGCACGTGGGAAACCTTGGCGGACTCCGTGGCAGGCGAGGGCGACCGAGGCGGAGGACTAACACGCCAGGCAGACCGAGCTTAGTGAGAAACTTTATTAGAAAGGGGGGGGGGGAGAAGAGGTAAAGAGACACAGGGACAGAGAGAGGACGGAAGAGAAAAGGGAGACAGAGAAAGTCCTGTCTGCCCCCAAGGGAACAGCAGGAAAGAGAAAGGGAAAGAAATAAGTGGGCGGGGGTCCTTCTTTTAAAGGGCTCCTTTGCACCTGCGAGCAGACTACACAACCGTGGAACCCTGGGCTGACCAGGACACTGCCCGAGTGCATTCTGCCAGGTGACAGGGGCAGGCCAGGGTAATGCCTGAATCCTTACACACACCACCCCAACTCCCTGCTCCAGCCACGTCCCATCAACTTCAGAAGGATGCTCTGAGCACCAGCCTATCGTTTTAGCCACAGACACAGGCACCCAGAGTAAGGAGCCTTCTCTGGTAGGTGGCTGAAATAGGAACATCCATCCGGGGAACTCTCCAGGGAGCTCCGAGCTCCTCTCACACCACGTCTTTCTCCAGATGGGACTTTAATTCTCTTTCCTTCTTTCCTCTCTTCCTGTCTCCCTCTCCTTCTCAACACACACACACACACACACACACACACACACACACACACACACACACACACACACACACACACACACGCTACACACCCCAACCGCCGCTCCCCCAACAGCTGCAGTCTGGAAGAAATTACTCTTCTAAACAGCCAGACTTCCCTGGTTTCAGGAAATTCCAAGCTGGGAAGGGGAGGGGCCGAGCTGGGGGTGGGGGGCGCGCCTGTCCCTCCCCCTAGCTCTGCCCCGGCTTCCAGCTCGTCCAGTTCTGGTTTCCTCCTGCCCCCATCAGGGCTCTCAGCTTTTCCACCACCGTGGCTTTTTCTAGTCCTTTAAATCCTAGAGGCAAACTTTGGGGGAAATAAGGAAGGCTGGGAGGGGCCTAAGGCTTAACCCTCTCAACCCGGGACTAGAAACCAAGACCAGCTAAGCTGACTGGGCGTTGACTCCGCGCTCGCCTGGTAGGCTTACCATGGCCCCCGAGAGGGGCTGAAGCTTACGTAGTTCCCGGTGCAGGTAAGAAGGTACCACAGCCAAGATTTGCCAGACTCTGGGATCTAATCTCCTGGCTCTGAGGGAGGAGGGCAGTGGTCTGGATTCCCGTAAAAGATAAGAGTGCAGAAGCCTGGACCCCTGGAATGTGAGAGCGGAGAGCAGGGGAAACTCCCAGCCTGTGAAACCAGAGCCAGGAGGTGGGGCTCCTGGGACCCAAGAGCGCAGAACCCGGGCCGAGGTGGTGGCTCTCAAGTCGGCATGTCTAGGTCCTGGAGCCCCTTGCAGGCTGGGCATGACACTTGGTTTTTTTGCCAGGTGAGATCCAGCTCCGAGAAAGAAGGAAAAAGGAGCCAGCGAGGTAGCCTCCGAGGCCGGGAGGTACCACAGCTTGAGTCGGAGCCCAATCCAGTCAGGACCACGAGGTGAGGAGGCTGTGGTGGGCAGGGGTCTTCAACCGGAGGGGCGCGGGGAAGAGACAGAATAGTTACCGAAGAGACCAGGGCCTTCGAAGTCCCTGCAGCTTTAGGGCTGCCAGTCCTAAGATCCCAGGGGTCTCCAGGTGGGGTCCCCTGCCAGGTCTGGGCTCCACCCTCCTTCCAGCATGAGAACCAGTCGGGCCAGCTCCGGATCGGGTTGTTATTTCCGTCCTGGCAGGGACTAAGAGGACAGAGGTGAACCAGGTGTGCCCCCCACCCCTGCAGCAGGAAAGAGAGTGGAAATGGCCAGATCTGCTTATCTGTGTCTCTGTCCCAGCGGGCTGGGTCCCCTGTGTGTGTGTGCCGGCATCCAGTCCGCTTTGCATTGACCCCGGACAACAGTCCCTCTGTCAGAGCCTAGGCTGATGACGAACTTTTTCCAAGAATGAGCGCATTGCCTTGAGTGTGACAGCCTTGCGAGGGACATATCCGAGCTTAGAACTGGATGTGCAGAAGGACACTCGGGCTAGAGGAGAAAGCGACTCCGTCAAGGTCTCAAAGCCAGCCAGGAGCTGCAGGGGCACTAAAATCTCCCTGCGCGCCTGTAAGAGGCATGCATGTAGTGTGTGCATGCTTGTATGCTAGGGAGTGTGAGGGCCTGTGTGGCATGTCCTGCTCGATTATTCTTCAGATGGGGGAGGGTCTCTTCTTTTTGGTTGTGAGCCAAGCCTTTAACGGCTGCGCTATCCCTCCAGTCCTGGGAGGGTCTGTTATTAAAATCAGAGTTGAATAAACCCAACTATCTTCCTGTCCCTGCCCTCTCTATAGCACTGGGATTAGAACAATCAACCATCTTTCCAGTCCAAAGAGCTCTTTTGTTTTTGAGACTGGATCTGACTGTGTCCTGTGTAGTCCCTGACTGTCCTGGAACTCTACATAGACCAGGATGACCTCAAGACTCACAAATCTCTGCCTACCTCTGCCTTCTAAACACTGAGATGAAAGGCACATGCCACCACGGCCACCTCCAAAAGCTGCTTTTGGTTGTCACCCCAGACTTTAACAGCTGAGCCAGCTTCCTAACCCCACAAAAGCTCTTCAAAAATATAGAATGGAAAACAAAAAGCCAGATAAGGTACCAAGGAAAGCTCTAGCCTTTGTAACAAAATAAAACATTTTTCCCCGTTTCCACACGGTCCACCTCCTGTGAGCGAATATGAACTGTTATAGCTTTGTTACACTTCACGCTTCACCAGCCTATTCTAAACCGTGTCTGACCCAGGACCAGTTAGTGAATCTTTTTGTTTTTCACCTTTGAAAAAACAATTGGATTACCTTCTCCCCTGGATTGTTCTGACAACTAGATGAGTTTGTGCAACCTGTCAAGGCACTGGGGCCAATGCTCGGCCAGGAGAAGGTGCTTGGGAAGTAACGTAGGCTGTGCGTGGGTTGCCTGCCACCCCTTAACAGAGCCTGCTGACTCCTGATCTCCGCAAATAAATCCAGCAAAAGACTCAGGAAGCTGATCAGGGTCCCAGAAGAAAGAAGTGGCGAATTTCAAGCCCCAGTATATGTAATGTTACAAAAGTGATCCTAGTTGAATCTAGTGATGCAGGCCTAGAAACTCTGCCACTAGGAAGTCTAGGTTGAGGCAGGAGGATCACTAGTTCAAAGTCTGTCTTTGTTAGAGAGTGAATTTAAAACCAGTCTGGGCAAGCTAATGACGTCCCAACTGAAAATTATTCTTCTTCTTCTTCTTCTTCTTCTTCTTCTTCTTCTTCTTCTTCTTCTTCTTCTTCTTCTTCTTCTTCTTCTTCTTCTCCTTCTCCTCCTCCTCCTCCTTCTCCTCCTCCTCATTCCCTTTTGGTTTTTCAAGACAGGGTTTCTCTGTGTAGCACTGGCTGTCCTGAGGCTCACTCTGTAGACCAGGCTAACCTAGAACTCAGAGATCTGCCTGCCTCTGCCTCCCAAGTTCTGGGATTAAAGGTGTGCGCTACCACAGTCCACTAATTTTGTTTTCTTTTAAAGGCTAATGGTATAGCTGAGTGCCAGAGTGTTTGCCTAGAATTCTCCCAGTGAGGTGTGGGAATATGGCTCAGTGGTAGAGTCCCTGCCTAGAATCCTCCATTGAGGGTCTGGGAATACAGCTCAATGATTGGTAGAATGGCTGCCTGGAATTCACCAGTAAGGTAGTAGGGGCTTGGATCAATTGCTGCCTAATACCCAGAGTGTTAGCTAACTCTAGGTTCTATCTTCAGCCATCCAACAAAAAGGGGGTAGACCTCCATGCAGCATTTACTCAGTGAGCACCTACTGTTTGCTCTGCTACTATGGGGCATTCTATTGGTATCCCACCTCACAGATGAGAAAACAAGGTCAGAAGGGTCATTGCTTATCCAAAGCCACACAGCAATGGCCCTAGACAGATTCAAACCTAGGCAGCTGGTTTTCTGAATTTTACCTCTTTTCACTTCTAACTGCAGAGCAAGAACTAAGGTGAATGGCATCATTTGCAACCAGAGAGGATTTTTTTTTAAGGGGGGCATTTTCGAGACAGGGTTTCTCTGGTTTTTTGTTTTGGTTTGTTTTGGTTTTTTTCGAGACAGGGTTCCTCTGTATTGTTTTGGAGGCTGTCCTGGAACTCGCTCGGTAGACCAGGCTTGGTCTCAAACTCACAGAGATCCGCCTGCCTCTGCCTCCCGAGTGCTGGGATTAAAGGCGTGCGCCACCAATGCCTGGCCTCTGTATTGTTTTGGAGGCTGTCCTGGAACTCACTCTGTAGACCAGGCTGACCTGGAGCTCACAGAGATCCGCCTGCCTCTGCCTTCCGAGTGCTAGGATTAAAGGCGTGTGCCACCAACGCCCAGCTCAGAGAGGATTTTTATGGTTAACAGTGGCTCAATAGTCGGTAGTGAGTCAAATACACCAAAACAAACAAAAACCAAAAACAAATAAAACAAACAAAAAAAACAGGGAAATTAAAACAAAAAATCCGAGAACCTACTAAATTGTTAAGGACAAGTCTTAGTCTGTCAAAACTTTTGTTTTCATTACAATGGAAGGAGGGTGTAGTGGTTGTGCGTCAAGTTCCAGTAAAAGTGTTTATTCACCTAGTTTAAGGGCTGAGTGGAACTGGTATAGCAAGAGTGGTTTCAGAGACAGGCAAGATGGTTCGTATGCTCAGCACATGGGGAGGCTGAGGCAGGAGCATTGCCCTGACTGGGGCCCAGCCAGATCTGACTTGTAGGATGCTATCTCCAAGATAAACAACAAACGGATCTTCCCAAATCCAACAACAACAAATACCAATCCTGGTGGCTACGCCTGTAATCACAGCTACTCAGGTTGCTGAGGGAGGATAAGGAAGTTCAAGTTCTGGGTTACAAATCGAGTTCAAGGACAGTCTGGACAACTTAGTAAGATCTTGCTCCATAATGAAAATCAAGGAGAGGTTTGGGAGGGGAGAGGGGCGTGGCAGTGTTGCAGCATGACTCAGACATTAGGAGCACCGACTGCTCTCCCAGAGAACTCAGGTTTGATTCCCACATCCACATGGCAACTCTCGGCCATCTGAAATTCCAGTTCCAAGGGATTTGACACCCTCTTTCTGGCATATGCAGGCAAATCACTCATACACATAAAATGATTATTTTTTTAAGAGATCTGGGGATGAGCCAGGAAGAGATGGTGTACGTCTTTAATCCCAGTACTCTGGAGGCAGAGGCAGGCGGATCTCCGTGAGTTCAAGGCCATCCTGGTCTACAGAGCGAGTTCCAGGTCAGCCAGGGTGGTTACACAGAGAAAGAGTTGGGAATGTGGCTCAGTGTTAGAGTGCTTTCTGGAATGTGTGAGATTCTGGGTTCAGTCCCTAGCAGAGGGAAAAATGTGGAAGTGTGCGCGTGAATTCGGCAGACCTTAGACTCCATCCAACTAAGTTATTTCGAACAGTTTTGGCTGTACTTTGTGTTCCTATCACCGTTGGTGCTTCCCAGTGTACTGGATGCTGAAAGAACAATGCTGACTCCATTGCATTCCTCTTACAGCTTTACCAACTCTAATCTCTGTTCCACAGTGGCTGTTCGGGTGGCACGGCCCTTTCTTCTCCCAACACTAGCACAGCCAGTTGGCAGCACTCGGTATTAAAAACATGCTGCAGCTGGGCGTTGGTGGCGCACGCCTTTAATCCCAGCACTCGGGAGGCAGAGGCAGGTGTATCTCTGTAAGTTCGAGACCAGCCTGGACTACCAAGGGAGTTCCAGGACAGCCTCCAAAGCCACAGAGAAACCCTGTCTCGAAAAAACAAAAACAAACAAACAAACAAAAAACCCAACATGCTGCAAGTCACTGTTTCTGTGTGCTCTGCAGGCAATCGGCCGCGTCATTTTGTCTGCCGTGTAAACAGGAGTGCCAAGGATTATAATCGGTGGGGATTTACTTAACTGGAAAAGGGTGTGGTTTTTGGCAGAGATAGAAACGAGGGATTTCATCAGAGTAGCAGTGAGTGTTGAAAGTACAAAGTTGTCAAAGCACCTGCAACAATTTCCGTGGAAAAAGACCAAGCTCCAGGATATGGGCCAAGGCTTGCTGAGTTTCTATTTGGCCACACCCAGTCAGGTGCAGCAATCTAGCAACTGAGCATCTGGTTTAGAGTTCACAGGCCGACAGCTGTAAACATACGTCATCCTTACCAATATTCATTAGAGTTATTCCTTTATTTTACCTGTGAGCGTTTTGCCTTCATATGTGTGTACACCACATGCATGCTTGGTGCCCATGGACGTCAGAAGATGGCCTCAGGTCCCCTGGAACTGATAGTAATGGATGGCTTTGAACCACCATGTGGGTCCTGGGAATGTGTATTTTTAAAGATTTATTTACTTTATGTATATGAGTGCTCTATCTGCATGTATGTATGACTTTATGCCAGAAGAGGGCATCAGATTCCACTATAGAAGGTTGTGAGTCACCATGTGGCTTCTGGGAATTGAACTCAGGGCCTCTGGAAGAGCAGCAAGTTCTCTTAACCATTGAGCCATCTCTCCAGCCCAGGAATGTATTTTTATACATGCATGTATGTGTGTGCAGTACCCAAAGAGGCCAGCAGACGGCATCAGACTTTGGCGTTGTAGTTACAGGAAATTGTAAACTGTGGTACTTGGGTACTTGGATCAGAACTTCCCTTTCCTGGAAGAGCAACCATACACTGTTTTTGTTGTTGTTTGGTTGTTTTTTCTTTCTTTCTTTCTTTCTTTCTTTCTTTCTTTCTTTCTTTCTTTCTTTCTTTCTTTCTTTCTTTCTTTTTCAAGACAGGGTCTGTCTACACAGTCCTGGCTCTCCTGGAACTCGCTCTGTAGACCAGACTGGCCTCAAACTCACAGAGATCCGTCTGCCTCTGCCTCCCGAGTGCTGGGATTAAAGGCGTGCGCCACCATCGCCCGGCATGTTATAGGTCTCCCCGCAAAAGCATATCATCTTAAATGTGAAATTCTGTGTAAATTCACAACTTCCCTAGACCACCCATGAGAATCTTCATGTGGTCCATACAGTGAATTTTGCACATGCTCTGTAGAGCCTTCCTGGCCCACTTCCTCAGTGTGTTTGGAGGGAAGGGCGCATGTGTGGTTGGTCCTAGACCTGTGCCCGGGATACTCACTGCACAAAGTCTGCCCTGTCTTCGAGGATGGGCACTGGTAATCTTCATCTCTACTTCATCTATAGCTAATGCTAACTGGAGTTTTTTACTGTTTCAAATATTAGTTATTGGGGTGACCCACATAGCGTAATGGTCATGGCCGTGTTAGACTCAGGAAAACTTAAAATATGCTCTCTGAGATTTGAGCCAGCAGTAGTGATCTTGGGAACCTCTCACAGAGTCCCTTTCCTCACTTGTTAACTGAGAGTAATAGTCCCACAATAGGCCTGCCTAATCAGAGCATCCTTTCGGCTGACTAGGTAGGTCTGGGACATAGAGTTGGGGCTCCAGGGTGAGGCATCTCTGATATGCCTGTGCCCCCCCACAGATGCCGGTGTTGAAGCAGCTGGGCCCTACGCAGCCCAAGAAGCGACTGGAGCGCGGTTCACTGTCTATCTCAGCGCCCCTCGGAGACTTCAGGCACACATTGCACGTGGGGCGCGGTGGAGACGCCTTCGGGGACACTTCGTTCCTGAGTCGCCACGGGGGAGGCCCGCCCCCGGAGCCCCGCGCACCGCCAGTCGGGACCCCACATTCTGTCCCTCCACCTGCAGTCCCACAGCCCCCCGCACCCGGCCTCTGCGTGGCTTCACCCGTCGACCCGCTGCTGTCCTTCCACCTGGACCTGGGCCCCTCTATGCTGGACGCGGTGCTAGGCGTCATGGACGCGGAGCGCGCCGAGGCAAAGGCCCCCAAGCCCATCGGGGATGTCCACCCTGGAATGCAGCACCAGAAGGCGCACTGCCGCTCCAATCCTGACCTCCAGCTGGACGATGTCATCGGCCTGTAGTGTCCTGTCTGCACCCCTCCCTCCCCCCAGCACCCCATTTTTGTACACATAAATGGCCGAGTTTTGCGCCATGGGCTGTGCTGTGTCCGTTCACTTTATACGGGAAGGGGTGTGGAGGCGACAGTGGTGAGGTGCCACCAACTAAAAGCCTAGTCTGCATAGTGGTGTTCCTTTAAGAGTTTGATCGTGTAGACTTGTCATGCCCCTCTCAAACGGCGGGAGGCTCGCACCTAGCCGCTCGCACACGCGTATTCGTTCTTCAAATATTGACCCAGTCTCCCAGCCACCTGGGAAAAGTGCAGCCCCCATAGCTTGCTAAGTACCACCCAAGGTAATATTTGGTTTGAAGAGTCACAGACGCCTGGCCCTCCACAAATCTCCCCAGGTGCACTCCGACCCGGCTGTCTGTCTTTTCTGGGAGTGGCTGCAAAGGGGTGTGGTTAGGGAACCTTTGGAGCCCCGAGGGGTGTGGTCCCCATGGGGAGGGCTTCTGGTCCTACCAACTGTGCGTGGCCATGTACCGTGGCTGTTGCGTCACAAATCTGGGCACAAAGTTAAGCTTGAGCCCACAGATGTCCAGCTGTTTTAACATACCAGAGGACCGGGACTCCCTGTGCTTATACCTTGGACTGAGGGTCAAGCCAGATTCTCGAAGGTTCCCAGCGGGGAGAGGGTCGATTTTAGGTCCCTGGAGGGGCAAGACCAACTTAAACTAACCGGACCGGAGGCAGAATAAGGTCTTTTGAAGTTTCCAGAGGGGTGGGTCGTATGTCTCAATTCCTAGACTGGGGACAGGAGCAAGACCCGTACCCCACAACCAGGCTCAGGTAAAAGGAACCCAGGAGAGGTCGGGGAAAGGCCAACGAGAGGTGGGACGTATGTAAATCATGCAGGTGGGTTGGGTCAAGCTAAGCCACACTCCCAAGGAAGGCAGGGCGGGGCCTTTGCTCACAGTGATGTAAGGTGTGGGAGGCAGTCAATGGTATGGGGACTACAAACTTTAAGGACGGTCGGGGGCGGCGCCAGGATGCCTGAACGGGACACACACACAGTGCGGTGTACGTGTAACTCAGATGAAGCCGGGTGGTGCGGGGAGGGGGAGGGGCCGGCTCCCTAGGGGTCCTGCGAGAGGTGCTGGGCACAATCCAGGTATTTGGTTGCGGAAACCCGGATCCCTAAGCGCCACCCCCACGTCAGGGGTGACATATATGTAAACCAGCTGGCTGGAGCGAGGGGGCCTCGCTCCGATGCTCCCTTGATGCCCTGAGAGCGGCGGGATACACCTAAACTATTTTGCACGGGGCGCCGACTGCCTCGCCAAAGCCCGGGAAGGGAGGAGCATACATGAAGTAGTTGGATGGGCTGGAACCTGGCTCCCTTGCGTTCCTGAGAGGACCTGGACACACCAGTTAATTGGCTGGCTGGGAGGGGCGGGGCAGGGCCAGGTTCCCCTTCGGCTCCGAGGTCGGCAGCACTGTAAATAAGCCGGGCAAGGCGGGACACCCCGGGGTCCCGCCCAGTTTAGTGGGCTCCCGGCATCACAGTCGGGGCTCCACGCTGTGGCCTGAGGCTGCGGTACCATGGAGGCAGCGGCCGGTTCCCCCGAGGCCCCCGAGGCCTGCCGCTTCTTCCTCGAGGGCCGCTGTCGCTTCGGCTCCCGCTGCCGCCAGCCACACCCCGGGGCCCCAGAGCCCTCCCCCGAGGTCGCGCAGCAGTCCCCGGAGCCTGGGACCAAGAAGCCGGCGCTGCGGACGGCCGCTGACGTCATCCGGCGCATCCGCTGGGACCCGCGCCTGGACCCTGCCGACTTTTCGGTGGGCTACACCGACCGCTTCCTGGGCGTGCAGGAGGAGCCCTTCGGCGCCTTCTGCTGGGACGAGCCCCTGGCGGCGCTCGGGCCCGGCGTGCTGGCGGTCCCGCAGCACCGCATCCGCTACTTCCGCTTCCGGGGCCGCCTGGTGTGGGACCGGGCCTCGCGCACTGACCTCATTTTTGGCTCAGGCTCGGCGGCTGGACGGGGACCCACCATCCTCGACGCGCTGGACGGCGGCGGGGGCGGGCGCCGGGCAGAGGTTGCACTAGAAAGCCCTGACACAGTAGAGACCGGGGCGGCTTCCCAGGGCCAGGGCACCCAGGATGCCTCTAGGGAAGGGGGTGGAGACCCCGCAAGAACTGGGCTCGATCCGGGCCTGGAGACACCCGACGAGGGCGGGACAGCCGGAGAGAGCAGAGCCGGGCTCGATCCGGGCCTGGAGACACCCGACGAGGGCGGGACAGCCGGAGAGAGCAGAGCCGGGCTCGATCCGGGCCTGGAGACACCCGACGAGGGCGGGACAGCCGGAGAGACCGTCCTGGATGGGGCGGCTGCGTCGAGACCACCAGGCACGCTGCTTCCACGGTGGCGGGCACAGGCCATGGGAGCTCCGGGGCTTTCTGCTGGAGAGATGAAGAGTGAGTGGGATCCAGGGGTTTGGCCTGACGGAAGGTCCCCTCGCCAGCCGCGCCCCACACATTTTGTGGCACTGATGGTGACAGAGCCCGGGCTTAGGGCGGAAGTGGTCAAGGCCCAAGAGCGTCTGGTCCAGATGGCCCCGGCTTGTGCCGCTTTCCTGGTTCCTGCGAAGGATCTGCACCTGACAGTGGCCCTGCTGAGGCTGACAGGCCCCGGCGAGGAGGCTGCCGCAGCCGGGGCTCTGCGGAGGGCCCTCTTGAAACCAGGACTTCAGACACCCTCTCAGCTACGGTTCAAGGACTTGGTTCTCCTGGGCCACCATGTGCTCTGCGCCACGCCCTGCCCCGCACTGGGGGGCATGGCCCAAACTCTGAGTCTGAGGCTGGAGGATGAAGGGCTGAGGGTGGTGCGGCCCTCAGGGGGACTCCAGCCGCACCTCACTCTGGCCAAGGTGCCGCATGGATCCCAGCTTTGCATCCCTGAAGCTGGGCTCCTCGTTCAGGACGAGGAGCTGGGAAGGCAGCCCCTGGGGAAACTCTGGCTGTGCCGTGTGGGCAGAGCAGGGCACAGCTACAGGCCCCTGGCTGAGATTCCCCTAAAGTGACCACCCAAACCTCAGAGAAGAAACTAGCCAAACAGAAACGTTCTCTCTCTCTCTCTCTTTAATTTTGGTTTCAGCTTCCAAAATGTACTGTACTCAATGCTCAAGGAGAACGAGGGGAGGGGAGGGGAGAGGTGGGGAGGGGAGGCAGGGAGGCATCTGGAAAAAAAGCAGCCTGACAGTCCAGCTGTTTGCAACCTCATAAGCACATCCTCCAGTTACATGGCAGAAGAGGGGAGGGGTGAAAAGAAAAAGGGAGAAAGAAAACTAACTTAAACACACACAGAGAGAAAAGAGGAAACATGACGTGAGCTGGTGATCCATGAAGGCAGAGGGGAGGGAGGAAGGGAGGGCAACCATTTTACCTGTGTTGAACCAGGGAGCAGGGAGGAAAGAGGAAGAGGAGGGAGGGGAGGGAAAAAAAAAATCAGAAGAAACATTGGGGCAGAGGGAGGAAGGGACACGGAGACAACTTAATACAACTTTAGTAAGACGAGGCAGCCCGGCCGGCATGGTCCCGCGAAGGCCCTGGAGTCCTCAGTGCGGTGTGGCGCTGGTCTGGCTGTGTTGGTGATGCTGGCATTTCTGGGGTGAGGGGTCGAAGTGGGGCATAGTCTTTAAGCAGCTCCCCTCACCCTGAACACTGAGGCCCCAGTGGCTGGGCAACAAGAGTCTATGAAGAAGCAGACGAGGCAAGGGTGCGGCTGGTGCCCCGCTGCGGGCGGGTACGGGCTGGACGGCCTGTCTTCTTTCTGCTGGCCCCCCAGCTTGGGATGGGCCAGCGCGGCAGGGTCAGGTGCTGGAGAACGAGCTCGAAAGAGAGAGAAAAAACACTGAGACAGCATTAGTGGAGGTGAGAGGCGGACACAGAACCTGTCCCCCACCCCGCCCTCCTCCACTATACTCCCATATCCCCTCTGAGACAAAAATAAAAACGTAGAAAAATCTCTGTACAGATCCCCGGTGGGAAACGGGGGTAGGGATGCTGGCTCTTCCTGGAGCCCACTCCCCACAAATTAATTTACAACCCATGTCCATGGCTCAAAAACAAAACGCAAAGGCGGCGCTGGGCCACAGCCCTAACCCCGCCCGTGCTCGATGGGCGCTCAGAAGGCTGGCAGCTGCGCCAGGCTGAGGCGGCAGTCCACGCTGGAGTTGTCCGGGCCCGTGTAGGACAGGCCCAAGGGCTCTAGGAAGGCCCGGCAGGCGGCCTCGCCCTCGAAGGCCAGCTCGGCCTGCAGGTAGGAGACAGGCAGCGCAGGGCGGAAGCTATGGAGACAAGAGGAGAAAATGATGAGGCGAGCAGACAAGGGAGGGCCCACGAGCAGGGAGCAGCACTCCCCATCTGGGCTCCCAGAGTTTTCCTCAGCAAGGAATCTGCTGGCTTCTGCAGCCCCTCCCGACCTCCCCAAGTTAGGGGCTTGGGGGGGCCAGGGATGGGGTTGTAGCCCCAGTGCCCAGCTGCCCCCCCTTGCCCACACTTACCTGTCCAGGAAGGAGGGGGCAGGAGGGAAAGGGCCAAGCTGGCTCCTCTGCTGGCTGAGGGGCTGGAGCCAGACAGAGTAAGTGATACAGGGCTCAGAGGGTACGGACAGTGGTGCCCCACCCTCCAGGGTGTTTGCAGTGTCACTCAGCAGTGCCTCCCGATTGGTACTAAGGTGCCTTAAGTGTGGATGTGTCCTACTAGCTCTGGTGACCTCTCCTGCAGGCCACCGCAGCCTTTGGCCACTCAGGAAGCCTCACCTATTTATCATTATCTGGAACCCAGGCATCTTATGGCTCTGGGACAGGGCAGCCTCCCTGTCTCTCAAGTGGCCTTCCAGGCCATGGCAGGGATTTGTCTGCCAAGAAAGGCTGTGCCAAGTTCACAGGGAGGGCGCTGTGTGACTGAGGTCAACACGGGCCAGAGCCCCGAGCACTCACACAAGGACCATCTGTGCTGTGCAGCCTTGGCTGACTATGAACAGAGTTAAGGATCACTTGCACCACTGAGGAGGTTTGAGGGCTGCGCACAGAGGGAGGGGCCTATGGAATCACAAAAGGAAGGCTCTAGTAACGAACTATAGAAATGATCCCTTGGTGGCACACGCCTTTAATCCCAGCACTCGGGAGGCAGACGCAGGAGGATCTCTGTGAGTTCGAGGCCAGCCTGGTCTACAAAGTGAGTTCCAGGACAGCCTCCAAAGCCACAGAGAAACCCTGTCTCGAAAAACCAAAAAAACAAAAAACAAAAACAAAAGGAAGGCTCATCATCTCAGTCAAATCTGGAGCCATGTCCATACCAGAGCCCCTCCCCTGGGACAGACTGACCAAAACAAAATCCTAGAGCAAGCTTCCTGACGCACAGACTGCAGGTCCCACCGTAACAGCACCGCAATGAAAAAATGCTGCTGCTCAGCCTGGCATTCAAGGCCTTGAGACTCCTAACAGACCTCTTGACCAGGTTTCTCAACCTTGGAAAGACTGGCACATACTGCTGTGGGGCTTTTTGTTGCACCGTATCCCCGGTGTCTCTACCCACTAGTTGACAGCAGCATCCACACCCATGTGACAACGATGGGGGGCGCACACACCTCTTCCCCACATGGGCAGGCCCGATGCAGTCTGACACCTAGAGGGCCTGGCGACACCACCCTGTGCCGCAGGTCCCCTCCCTATCACACTGTCCCAAAATATTTCTCATGCTCGAGAGTGAAGTGGGCACAAGGCCTCACCCCTCAAGAGACTCCTAGCGTGAGGCAGGAGACCCTTTCTAGCCTGTCAGAAGAGCAGCAAGGAGCTGCAGGCGAAAGCCCAGAAAGGGGAAGAAAACCCAGGTTCCAAGCTGATGTGAACAGAGAGTAGGAGGCAGAGAGGAGGGTATGACACCAGGAGCCGTGACATAGGAAGGGGAGGAGAGCTGAAACTGAGTGGCTGAGGAGGAAAGGAAGGAAGGACTGGGAGGGAACTCCAGCAGAGGAGCTGAAGGCTGACCAGGGTGTGAGGGGGCGTGGCAGAGCCACGGCACAGAAGCAGCGGAGTGCGGTGCCACATACGTTTTGATCATAGCCTTGAGGGCAGCCTTGCGCTCCCGGTCTGCAAACTTGTCCACAAGGTAGCCAGACATACAAGGTGCATGGCAATAGAGCCGGAAGAAACGGTGGTAGTTGCCTAGGGCCCAGGCTGCCCTCAGCGCCAATGCATGGGACACGCAGGGGTCCGCCTTCAGCTCCCTCGTGAGGTACGCCAGCTCCGTCGTGATGTCTGCACAGGACACAAGCGGGGGTCTGGGGGTCAGGCGGCAGGGTCCCGTCCCGGGCATGGTACCCTCCGTCTTGGGGTTGGCTTCTCACCTCCAGAGTTCTTGGTGAAGATGTAGTAGAGGATTCGGTATGCGGTAAATTCACCCACATTGCCTGCCAAGTTTTCTGCGTACAACGACTTGAGCTGTGTCTGGCACTGGTTGAATTCTTCATGGTCACCCTGAGGGTCGGGCGAGGAGGGAGGGGTGTGAGGAACAGGCACGTGGAGGAGGCTTCAAGGGTGGGAGGCCCAGGGGGCCGCCTGGCTCGCTCTCTTACCTTCTCCAAGGCAATGCGGGCATGCGTCTCATACACCTCCACAGTGAACTCCGTGCGGACGCCTTGCACCTGGGCAGGGGCAAAGAGCAGTCAGGCTGGACAGACAGGCAAGATGGCCGACCCTGCAGCCCTCTCGGCATGTCAGCCTTACCGTCAGGTCCTGCCGAATGGACTTCATCTGCTCACAGGCGAAGGCATAGTCCTGCTTCTCCTTCCAGTGGGACTTGACCATGCACAGAGACTTCTTCAAAACCTGCAGGGGACGGAATCAAGGCTGAGTGTAGAGACAGCTGGCAGGCCAGAGCCGCTGCGACAGCCCGCATCGGGGACTCGCCACTGCTACGAACAAAGTCAGCATCAGCAGGACCGAGTGCCCAGCTTCCTGCTGACTCAGCGTGTGCCATCCTCAGGCACAACAGCTGCCTCACGAGGCCACCCGGCCCCGGGGCTGACTGTGGCCAGCCACAGCTGCCAGCTCAGACACCCACAGGCCCCACCCCCCATGTGAGCTCCCTGACCTAATGCCAACACGCGGGGGGGGGGGGGCGGACGCACTGCCAGGACTTACAGCCACAGGCCGCACAGTGGACGGGTCTGGGGCGCAGGTGAGCCGCAGATAATGCTTTGTGATGTCAGGACACGTGCCCACAATCTGCAGCTCCTGCCAGTCAGGGTCGGCGCCGCTGCTCTCCAGGCTGCTCATCTGCAGCACCAAAGGCTCGAGGCGCAGGCGGCGCGAGTGCCCGTGCTGGAAGCGCGCTGCCCTCTTCTGCTTCTTAAGCTCACGCTCGGGGTCCTCACACTCCAGTGCTGCCATCTTCTTGCGGCTGCGCTTGGTGGGAGCTAGGTCGTGTCTGGGGAGAAAGGGCAGCAACACCAATGTCTTCGGCCACTCTGAGGGCTATCTACCCCCCTGTGAGACCCAATAAACTCACTTGTGCCTAGGAAGAAACCCCACCCAGAGCCTCACCTCTTTCCACGCTGCGCCCTGCCTCGGCCCCGATCCATGTGGGCCCCACGACCACCCCGACCCTTGGGGGGTGGGTTCCTGCGGCCTACAGGGTGACACTCATTCCCTGAGTAGGAGCTGTCAGAGTCTGAGTGGGAGTCACTGAGTGAGAAAACAGGAAAGTCAGGCCTGAAGCACAAGGGCTTCGCTTCGGCCCCTCCCATCACCCTCCAGAGCACAAGCCTGCTCACCTTCTGCGGAAGTGACGGGGAGGAGACCTGGATGAAGAGCGGGAGCGCGAGTCTGTGCTGGAGGAAGAGCTGTTGTCCTTCATGAAGACGTTGCGGTTGCCGAACTTGGCGAAGCTGCTACCCCGGGCTCGGCCAGCACCCCCAGCCCCAGGTGTCCCTCGCTGGGATTGGGCACCCCCGCCCCTGGTCACAGAGCCTGCCCCCCTGGGAGGGTGAAGGCTGCTAGGGGCCTCCCACCGCTTCTTCTTGGGGCTCTCAGCCACAGGCTCCCTGGTCAGCCTGAGGATATAGCAGGGCAGGGCATTACCAACCAGCCACCCACCTGCAGGACTACAGACCCCACCTCAGAAAGGAGAGGCACTTACCCCGGCAACTCTGCCACTGTGGTGCAGGAAAGGGACCAAGCCCAAGATTGTCTGTGTCCAGGGGATGCTCTTAGCCATTAAGCCACCCGTACCTCCCCAGCAAGTCCTGGCTGCTCCAAAGACCCTATCTGTGACAGTCCTGCGCCTTCTACCAACCCCACAGGGTCCCCACAGAGCCATCAGCTTCCTGGCCCACTTCTCTGAGGCTGCGGCTAGTTTAAGCCCAAGTCCCCAGCCCACACCCAGCAGCCCCACCGTGTCACGGCCAAGCAGACTGACCCAGGCAGAGGCTCTCGGCTCCAGTCGATGGTGTAGGCAGAGCCATCCTGGAGGCGGGCCTGCAGCACCTCCTTGAGCAGCTTCTCCGTGCGGTCCTTGTCCTCTTCTGACTCACAGGCCGTGAAGCACCGCTCCACATACTCCTTCATATCCTGCGGCCAATCATCGGGCTTCCCAGACAGGTTTCCCCGGCCAGAAGGCCCACTGCGGGGACGGGAGACAGACGAGGACGCTCAGGCGACGCTAGCCTGCATCGACCTCGGCAGAAGCGTTCCTGTGATCTGAGAGGGCAGTCCTACACTATACATCCCCAGCGTCCCCAGGCACTAAGAGGGGCTCCTGGAGAGGGGCCCTGGGGCAGACACTGAACACAGAGCTCGGGCGGTAGTGATGGGCAAAGAATCACCTATGGCTCTGAGCTTTCTCCGAGCTGGGCTGGGAGCCAAAGCTGCTGTGCGGACTCTCTGCACTGGAGCTGAAGTTCTGGTTGGTGACAGCAAAGGGTCGCTTCTGAATGTTGAACTTGAGACCTCCAGTCCCAGGGGCTGCTGTGGGAGGACGCAGAGGCTGGAGTTAGGCCCTTCCCCAGACATTCAAAACGGCAAGCTCTGGAGCAGCTCTCTAGCATGAGCATAGCACTTCCAGAACAGTCCTCCCCTAGACTTAGGGCCCAACACAACACCGTGACAAAGGTGTTGCTAACTCACGTTTCATGCGGGTCCACAGCTGCTGACCCTTCTTGGGCTTGGCAGGCTCGCTGTAGTTGTGTGGCCCATAGGTCTGCCCTGTAGGTGCCCCTGCCTGGCTGTGCTGAGTGGCTGGGGCTGTTCCCGGCTGCGGGCCATTGTTTAGACCGTGTGTCCCATGCTGAGGGTTTGAGGGCTGAGGGGGCTGGGCTGCAGGTAGCTGCTGAGCAGAGGCCTGGTAGGCCATACTCTCATCCATGCCAGGCACTGGAGGCTGCAAAAGAAGCAGAGGTAAGCTAAGGGTAGCAGGCAGGCGGCACCCTGATTCCGGATCACCTTCTTCAACCCCACGCGCCAGCATCCCACGGGGTGGTGACTCCCTGGGGCGTCTATTCTTATTAGCTATCCTTTCCACAACTGCGAGGACTCAGACCCATGGAGACTGAGCAACTTCCCACAGGTCCCGCTATGTCAGGCAGCAGCTACCACCCACGCCAACACTGGAGCCTGACTCTACTATACTAACAGCCACGGATGACACATCCACATGACACCACACCTGCCCAAACCCCACGACAAGACTGCACTCGCTCCTCTCTCCAGGGGTCCTAAGGTGTACAGGCCAGGGCACAAAGCAAGGACTCAATGTTCACCCCGTGCTCCAGGGCACCCCAGTCCTCTAGCCTGCCCCAGATCAAAGGCAGCATGGAGGGAGATGTGGGCGCGGGTGTGTGTGCACTGTGGGTGTGTGTGCACCACGCTGAGTGTGTGGGGGCACACCTGCTCCTGAATGCAGCTGTGAGTGCACATGCTGGAGGAAAGACAGACTGCCAACGACGACCTCCTCCCGCTGTCTCCCCAACACTACGGACTCAAGCTCATCCTGGCCTTGAAAGCTAAGATCTTAGATCAGGGACTGCTTGACAAGAAAGATCAGGGCGGAGGGGAGGGAGCAGCTTTGACACAGTGCAGACCATTCCTGGTTGCGAGTCCTCTCAAAACCCGGGTTCCTGCTGCAGCTGAGCAGGAGCAGCGAGGCACAGCGTTACCTGGTTCAGAGTCGCTTGGTGCTGGGGAGCCGATGGCTGCTGGGCTGTAGCTGAGCCGTAGGAGCCGGCCATCCCATACTGGGAGGGGGAGCCGTAGCTCTGGTACATGCTCTGCCAAGGCACAGGGGAGCCGGAGTTAGTGAAGGCTGCTCATGCCTTCGGCCTCCCTTGGAACCGTGCTCAACTTAAGAGGCTACATATAGTCGCCAGGCCCTGTTCTCCCCACCACATGGATGCACCGAATCATGTATTCTCCAAAAAAAAACAAAAACAAAAAACAAAAGCAAAGTCCTCTTCATCCCACTCATGCCAGCGCCCAGAGCTCTTGCTAACGAAAAGCAGTGAGGGACAGCACTTCTAATGCTGTGATAGAGGCAGGAGACGGGGACGGTGGCTCACCCCTTTAATCACAGGTCTCGGGAGTAAGGGTGGAGACAGGTGGATTGCTGTGGAGTGTGAGACCAGCCTGATCTACATAGCTAGTTCCAGGCCAACCAGGGCTACACAGTGAGACCTTGTCGTTAAAAATAAATAAAAAATAGATACAAAACAAAAGTAAGCTTGTGGTGGTGGCTGTACATTCAGGTGGCTGAGGTAGAAGGGGATGTTGAAGCCAACCTGGGCTGTATAGAGATCTCTGACCCAAAAAGGAAAACAAACCCCAGGCTTTAATGAAGTCTACACACAGCTAGCTACACAGCTACGGGTGTTAAGTGGGAAGCATCCCACAGGAAGCAGCACGGAAGAAAACAAGGCAAAGAAGAGAAGCAGGACTATGACTCGAAGCTTCGAAAGTGCTCTCTGGGGAGCAAGAAACCATGGCGTAAGCACAGCAGACAGAGCCGCAGTAGCGCAGGGGACTAGGATACACACGCTCCTGCCCTGCGGTCTGGGGGCAGTGACGGTGCACCTGCGCAGACAAGTCAGATCTTGGAGACCTGAGCAGGAAGCTGGGTTACCTTAGGGACTACCAGAGGGTTTCTCAACACTGCTATGTCTTCTGTCTTCCCTCCCACTAACCGTTTCCCCACACGGACGGAAGGCTCCTGGGCACTCACCATCGGGTAGTAATAGCTGTAGGGATAGGCATAGTTGTATTGCTGGTACCACTGGTAGTACTGTTGTTGCTGCTGCTGCAATGCCGAGGCTTCTGCCTGAGAGACATACTGTGGAGACAGAAGCATGGATGTGTCAGTAGCAACCACAGGAGCCCATGGGCACTACAGTCCCAAGAGGGCAGGCCTCCACTGCAGAACGGGAACGGAGTCCATGCCTCTATAGTAAGAGTAGGCTTCTGGAAGATGGGGCAGGCCTCCCTCCCTCCCTCCTCAGACCCTGGCTGACTCCAAGCTGTTGACTTTTCTCTTCACCATACTCAGTTAGCGAGAAAATACATTTACAGTCCGCTGAGGCACGCCGTCCTCTGGAAGCCAGCACCCTCCCATCCTTCCCTCGGCAGCAGCCCCCCCCCCCAGGTTCTGCTCGCCCTTCTCACTTGTGCGCTGGCCACAGGCCCACTGCTGCTGGCTTTGGAGCTGCCGGCAGCCCCTGCTTTGCTGATGCTGGCCAGGGCCTGCCGAGCCTTCTCCCACTCCGGGTTCTCGTGCATGGGAGTCTCCATGCCGTTCTCTCTGCTGGCACCAGCCACCATGCCGTACTGAGAAGACCTGCAGAGGCGACCGAGTTCTGTTCTCTACTGTGCCCGGGGTAGACAAGGCCAAAAAGTTCCAGAGCTAAGCTCCCTACCTACCAGAGCCCTAGCTGAAGCTGGCCCATAACAAGCGCCAGGCAAACAGAAGGCTGACCGGCATGCACAAAACTTTGCACGACCTACATCCTCAGGAAGATTCCATCTTTACAAACCAATGAATTCTGATATGGCCAACCGTGGGGGGGGGTTACCATAAATACAGCCCGAGGGGACAGGAGAGAGAGGACTATGTCTAAGAGCACTAGCTGGTCTTGCAGATGTTGAAGTTCAGGTCCCAGCACCCACGTCAGGTGGCTCAGACACTTCTAATTCCACCTCCCAGGAATCTCATGCCTCTTCCCACCTCCGTGCGTGAACGTCCCACCCCCACAGAAAGCTCAGAAGGGAAGCTTGTCCCTCCAGCCTAGCCCCCAGCATGTGGATTTCTTTTTCCAGGCCATTCCAGGGCCCACTGTGTCTTGCTCCTCTTTCCCTAGCCCTACTAACCAATCTGCGCTGCGCTGATCACCCACGTTGGCCGCCATCTGGACCTTGGGGTGGAGGGGGTGAACCTCGGGAGCCAGACTGCTTTTTCACTGTCTGTAAGAAAAGAGATCAGTTAGGAGGACCAGAGCATGAAGCGAGTAGGTTGGACCCATGAGAGTACAGGCAGGACAGAGTTTCTCACAGAAGGAACACTGGCAAAGCATGGAAGAGAATCCCAGCACCGTGGTGCATGTCTGCAACCCCAGCACTCTTTGGGAGGTTGTAATCCTGTCTCTAAAACAAACAGTCAAAAGAATCACAGGGAATTCCTAGGGTGGAATGAAGAGCCCTGAGCACGAAATGAAGACACTGGACTCCTAAAAATGCAGGAAGTCAGAATGAAAGACAGAGATGACAAAACTGTCATTTGGAGAGTGGACATGAGGGGAAACCAGGCCCAGGTGGAGGATGGAGAGTCCTCAGTCCTGGGCAGGGAATCTAGAGAATTCCTAGAGTATTGACTCGGGTTCTGAAAGAAGCAGGAGCACAGCCGGGCTGGTGGCGGCGGGAGGAAGGCATCCCAGTGAGTAATTAGCTATCTAGAAGTTTGGCAAGACTGAAGTTTCTGGGGACACACTAAGGAGCACGGAGCTGAGACTTCTGAGAACACTGGAGAACAGGGCCAAGTTCCCAAAGGAAAAAAAGGCCCTCTCTGGATGTACTACGTGAAGTCACCGGCTGTCAGCACCTGAATCATTCGAGTCCCCAGAGGACAGGGAAGAGGCTTGTTTGGGTTGTTCCCAGGAGCCGGTCCGGGAGAAACTACAGGCAAACCCCCTTGGGTGGTGGGGTGTCTGCGGTTAGCGCTGTCGGGATGCCATGGGAGGCCAGCAACATTCCTAAGAAACCACTGGGGGACGGTGGATAGTACTGGAAGAAACGTGAAGGACGGGACTCGACGGGCCGCGAACAAAAGGATTTACAGAGAATCCCAGCAATAGGATTTACAGAAAACAAGTCCACTGAAGAAGCCGGTATCTTACAGGAAGCCTAAGGAGCACTGACAGGCCTCGAAGAGCTTTAAAAAAGATAGACAGACTGCTGGGTGGAGTCGAAGGGTCGAAACTAAGGGTACAAATGGGAGAGCGGGGGAGGGAGAGGATGGGATAATTAATTAATTAGTATTAGGAGTGAGGCCTGGGCGGGGCAGGGGTCTGATGGGAGGGACTCTGAAACTCAGGAGCACCTGGCTGTCCCGCAGGCATGGGGTCCACGACACCAGGTAGAGACGGGGCCGCCCTGAACCCAAGCGACCGCCCGCCCGCCCCCTGCCCGCTTCCCGCCGCGGCCAGCCACCGGCCCGGCCCGCGCCTGCGCACCGCCCAGGCGAGGCCTCTTCGGGTTGCCCCGGGCAACAGGGCGGCCGGCGTAACAAGCGGGTCCAGGGGGCCGCCGACGGGGGGGAGCGAGCGTCCAGGACACCGGCCCCAGGCGGAAGCGCGTGCGCACGCGCGGAGGCGCCGGGCGCCAGCGCGCCCACCCACCGGGCGCAGCGCGCAGGCGCGGCGGCGCCCTCCTCCCCCCCCCAACCACCCCCCGGCGGCGGCCACACCCTTTGCGGACGCCGGGGTGGGGTGCGGCGTCGGTAAAGCCTCCCCGAAGCAGGCCCCGGGGGGCTCGCCGAGCGCGGAGGCCGGACTCGGCGTCCCCGCGCCCGCCCGCCACTCCACTCCACTCCGCTCCGCACACTCACCAGGGCCGCTTGCTCCCGGGGTTCGTAACCGGCGGCCCGAGGCGGCTACCAGACAAGCGCGAAGGCGCTCGGTCACCGGCTGGCTCTCCTGGGGGGGCGGGGGCTGGAACGTCCTGGCCGGCGACGTGATGGCGTCACCGCGACGCCCGGGACCCGCCCCCGCGCGCGCGCACGGGGCGCGCACAGCCAATGGGTGTCGGCCGCTCGGCCGGAACCACGCTCCACCCTATCCCCGCCTACGCAACGGTGGGGAGGGAGGAGAGAGGGAGGGGCCTTATCGGCAAGCCGGAAGCTGGGCGCGGACGGCGGCCCCGCGGGGACAAGCGCCCCCGCCGGCGTTCCTCCTACGACCGCCCGAGTTTTGACCCGATCTAGTTGGGGAAACTATAGGGACGTGAGTTGTGAGGCTGCGCACAGCGCTACGACTTTTGGTTTGTTTGTTTTTAGTTTTTTTTTTTTTTGGTTTTTCGAGACAGGGTTTCTCTGTGGCTTTGGAGGCTGCCCTGGAACTCGCTTGGTAGTCCAGGCTGGTCTCGAACTCACAGAGATCCGCCTGCCTCTGCCTCCCGAGTGCTGGGATTAAAGGCGTGCGCCACCAACGCCCTGTTTGTTTGTTTTTAAAGGAGTGGGATGAGGATAGGCTTGCTGGGTGAATAAACTTGGCGTGGGGAGCAGTGACTGCGAACCCAGGGGAAGCAGGAAATGCGCGTCGCTTGAGGGATGGGAGTGGCCTTTGGGCTGTGACGCTGGAAAGGTAGCTGGGGTAGAGGGGCGTGTAGGCTGGGGAAGCTTCCAGAACCCATAAGTATGCGCATGAGTGTAGATCAGGCCGCCCTCCTATGGGACTAAAGTTTTGCGCCATCACGCCCGGTCACAATAGGCTTTTCTTTTTTGTTTTTGGGTGTTGTGTTGGCTTTTTTTTTTTGAGGGGGGGCGGTTTTCGATTCAGGGTTTCTCTGTGGCTTTGGAGGCTGTCCTGGAACTGGCTCTTGTAGACGAGGCTGGTCTCGAACCCACAGAGATCCGCCTGCCTCTGCCTCCGGAGTGCTGGGATTAAAGGCGTGTGCCACCAACGCCCGGCCACAATAGGTTTTTCTTAAAGTTTATTGTTTACAGCAGGAATGATTGGATTGTGCTGCCCAAATAGGGATCCCTGTTAAAATAGTCTATGAAACAGTACCTCATAACCCATAACACTTTGTACTATCGACTTTTGGTAATTACGCAACACAGATAACTTTGTATCATTTTGTTAGTATTAGCATGGTAGGATTTCTTCCCATCTCTCTTTTTTTATAATGAACTTTTATTTTAGAATAAATTTGGGTTTACAGGAAAATAAAAGTTGCAAAGATAACACAGGAGTTGGGCTTAGTATGCCCAGTTTCCCCTATTGCTATCACCTCGGATTCACCATGGTTTATTTGTTAAAGGTAAGAAACTGACATTGCTTCAATACTCTGCACTAAGCCGCAGATTTTACTTAAAGACATCGATACTTTTCTCATTAATGCTTTCTGCGTGCCGTAGTGTAACCCAGAGATTCATACGGCATTTATTTTGCTTTTAAACCTGTCCTGCCGGAGCTGAGGTTTCTGGATTTATGATACCCATTTCCTTCATGATGAGCAACTGAGTTCAAGGAGTCAAACAACTTGCCCACGTCAGCGCACGGTGCCTCGACTGGAGCCCAGAGGCGTCCAGCCACCGTGAAAACCCCTCAGGCTATGTCCCTTGGTGCTCATGCACCCACCCAACTGCCACTGTTTGTCACGCCCAGCTTGAGGATCCTGCCCTACCAGCCTCCCATACAGAGATTCTGGTCTTCCAGAGAGTTCTCCTCTGCAGATCTTCTCTTCCTTCTGTGACCTTGTCTGCAGCATTTAACTAAGTCAAGTGTTGTCTGGACAGATGGCTGGCTCTCCACACACCTCTTGCTTTGCTTGTTGTCTTTCTGGAAGCTCTTTCCCCAAAGGGTCACCAGGTCGAGATAGAGTTTTCATTCTCTCACGTATGAGCAGGTTTTCCTTTTATTTATTTTTTTTCATATATCCGGGGATTCACAGCATATTTTGAGCACCTCTTCCCTGGGCTTCTAGAACAGCACCAGGCAGCACCCCACTATATTGTCACAATAAGTACTGGTTGGGGGAGTGCCCACTGTGTTTGGAAATCACTCCAGTTTGAGCAACTTTGAGTCTGTCTGGGGGTTTTTTGTTTCTTTGTATGTTCATCTCAGCTGCTTAGTTTTAAGTGGAGTTGTCTTTTTGTTAGATAAAAGAAACTTCTGTGAATTATTTGCCATATGGGCTATTTTTTTTCTTTTTACAATACAATAAATTTCCCTTTTTACTCTGCCATATTTATATGTTTGTACTTTATTGACTGCCTTATCTTTTCCTGTCTAGATTTATATCTCCCTTAAAGTTTCCCCCTCTACATCACCCTGGCAACACTACATGCAAACGTTCTACTTTCTCTTTCAGTACTTGTGTCCCCTTACTGCCACACACTTAGGTTTTCTGACGTCTTGTGCTAGATTTGAGCTGCTGGGGAGCGAGTTGATTCCACGCCGCTCCTAAACCCACCAGGCCCCTTGCACATCCCACATGGCTGGAAGCTTGACTTGGTTCCTGTGGATGTACGCGTGCTTAGATCTAGTGCTAGGTTTATTCTCTTCCTGGGGTCTGCATCTTCCCTTGTCGGGATGCGCCTGTGATTCAGAACCAGAGCGATGCTGAGCCTGGACAAGAGGAGAGTTGCTTTTCAGCTACCAGGGAAAGGGGTCTCCCTAGCCCAGTCGGGACTTCCTCTCCCAGGAGGGAAGAAATAAGAAGGTCCTAGCTACTTGTAAAATAATCTTCCCTTTTATTTCAAATCAACCCTCTTCCAAGTTAGTGCCACAAGTTGAGATGGCTGGGATGTGACAGGAGCAGAGACATCCTCACACCCCATATCCAGCTTAGTCCCTCCGAGGACAGTACTGGCAGCCAGCCAGAGGTTAGGGACACCCGGACCCTTCCCAGCTAGCCCTGGTCCCTGCTCTGCCACCTCAGCAGTCCCCTGTGCTAAGGGTGATGTGGGAATGTTGGGACCAGAGCAGAGCGTCAGTCATCCTATGTGAGGTGTCCGTGGCCAGCAGTGTTAGTGGTCAGAGCCCAGTCAGGGCCAGGTTAGTGGGGCCTTCTCCAGCAGCCAGGAAAGGAGCTAGAGAGAAGGAGAGATTAGGAGCTGACTTAGGGAGGGGGGTTAGACACTCCCACGCACACCCACCCAGCATCAGAGGACCATAAGCCAAGGCCCAGTGCAACACTGGGGTGTCACGGAAGCTTACCAAAGAGGAGAGACAGGCTCCAGGCTGGAGAGGAGGCTCAGATGGAAGACTGCCACTGCACGAAGCGCTTGGATTCCTAGCAAGATAACGGGGAGAAGACAGACAGTGAGAATCTGTCACGTACTGTGGGGCCCCTCTGTCCTCTCTCAGACCCAGGAGTCCAATACCCATCTCTCCTACCCTTAGACCCAGGATCCCAGTCCCAGTCCTCCTCCCTCAAACCCAGCCCAGCCCCCTCAGACCCAGGGGTTGATACCCGGCCTTCCTCGCCCAGGGTCTGTACCTGAGGGTTGAAAGGGTCGTCATCATCTGTGTCATCGTAGTCATCACTGAAGTGTGATTTGGGGGGCGGCAGAGAAGCAGGATGGGAACCCATCAGGAGGCTGCCCCATCCCCACCAGTGGCCCTGGGTGCTGCCTCCTGTCCCCTCCCTGGGGACCCTGCCCTCTCTCCCCTGCTGACCTGGGCGGGAAGAGAACCCAGGCACGGGGCAGGCTGCAAAGGGTGGTGGCCAGGGCCCCCGCTGACAGGAGAGAGAAGAGCATCAGGAAGAGCAGGCCCTCCAGAGCGTCTTCACACAGGCCTCGGAGTGCCGAGCCGTAGTCCTGAGGCAGAGGGTAAGCCTGAGAGTGTGTATGCACGCGCTCTGTGCACAGGTCCCAACATCCAGCCACCTGACTGTGTGGTATTGTATGACCCAGACTCTCTGGGCCCAAACGTGATCTCCTGCCAGAGAGCTGTTCTGAACATGCAAAATCATCCATGTGTCCGCCTCGGGGCCGTTACTGAGGTGCGGCCCCACAACCATTCCTGTTTTTTTTTTTTTGGTTTTTCGAGACAGGGTTTCTCTGTGGCTTTGGAGGCTGTCCTGGAACTCGCTTGGTAGTCCAGGCTGGTCTCGAACTCACAGAGATCCTCCTGCGTCTGCCTCCCGAGTGCTGGGATTAAAGGCGTGCGCCACCAACGCCCGGCCACCATTCCCGTTTTATCTCACGTCTCCACCCCACAGGCACAGCGGCCTAGCATCTCCACTCAGCTCCCACGGAACTGCTCTCCGGGGATTCTCGGTGGGCGAGCCTCTATCCTGCTGCCTCCCGCAAGCACCAGCCCTGCCTGTCCTTGCAACCAAGTGCTCCTGACAGATGAGGATGCCAGCCTGCACCCTTTCCCAAAGTTGTGAAAGCCACATCCCCACACATTGTCAAATGCCCCGTGGACCCCACAAACCGGTGGCTCACATAATACTCAGGATTGGACATCACACATGCTACACACGCAGAGAAGGCTGACTGCCGGGACTACCACCCTGGAGGCCAGCAGAACCACTGTGACCTCAGTGACCAGTGGCGTGGCCAACATGCCGGTTCATTCGGAATGGACTGAGCCACCTTTTTCTCCAGGCATGCCCCCCAGCACCAAGGAGGCCACTTTGGAGGCTGGAGGGCTGGTAGGACAGTAAGATGTTAGGGCAGCGCCTAGTAGGGGCCATTTAAGAAAGGACACAAGCAGCCAGGCAGGTGGTTAGATCTAGACAGAGGCAGGCGGCTGGGCTGATGTGGGGGAGAAAGGCAGAATCACCAAGGCTGAGGCCACAGAGCTTTCGCTAGGGCTGTCTACACAGGCTCTTCTAGACCAGGGCCGGGAGCCCTGGCTTTAATCCGTGTGCACGGGGACTCAGGCAAGGGCTTTTAGAGGAAGACTCTGATCCGATTGTGTTGGAAAGCATCGCCAGCTGTCACTGCATGAGCAAGATGGGCACTCAGGAGGCTGTGGTCTTGGGCAGGAGCTGAGGAGGGCCAGGGTCTGCAGCAGCGAGCAGCAGATGCGGTGGGAAGTGAGGACGAGGAGCTACAGGAGCATTCCTGACTTCCTGGTTCAAGCACTGGGGTGAAGGAGGGTCGCCTGCCTACTATTGGTTAAATGAAGCATGGGGTGAGGGGCCCACCAGGACACTAACCGGTTAGGTTTGCATCATACACACATGCGAGGCACACCCATCCTTGCAACAGTCCCACGCAATGCTGCCTTTGGCAGTTGTGGAAAGAAGCTTGGCCTAGAGTGGGCAATCTACTTGTACAGAGTCACACATTCTACAAGGGATAGAGCTGAATCTTGAACCAAGTCTCACAGGTTCCAGAGACACCTGTCGCGTGCCTCTTATTTAGACACGACCTCTCCCTATAGGTCTGGCTGCTCTAGAACTCACTTTGTAGACCAGGCTGGCCTGAAACTCATGGAGATCCACCTGACCCTGCCTCTGTCTCTGGAAGGACTGGGTAACGGGTATGTACCACCACACCCAACCCATTCTTTACCTTTGTGTCTCTTGTCTCTAATTTAGTGTGTGTGTGTGTGTGTGTGTGTGTGTGTGTGTACTTGTATGTGTGCACATGCAGAAGGGGTGTTTGGATGCCTGTGCATGTGGGGTGGGGACAAAGATTAAAGTTTAAATACATTTTGGGTTTGTTTTTGTTTTTCCAAACAGAGTTTCTCTGTGTAGTCCTGGCTGGCCTCAAACGCAAGATATCTGCCTGGCTCTGCTTCCCAAATGCTGGGAGTAAAGGTGTATACAACCATTGTCAGCCAGCAAGGTTTTATTTGTTTTTGAAACAGGCTCTCTCACTGGGACCTGGTGCTCACCAACTGGGCTAGGCTGGTTGACCAGCAGGCACCAAATATCCACTTATTTCTGCCTTCTTAGTGCTGAGATTTTAAACCAGCACCATATGCCTGGCTTTTTACGTGGTTTCTGGTGATCAAACTCAGGTTCTCATGATTGTGTGGCAAGTACTTCATAGGTGGAACAATGTCCTCATTCCTGTCTCCAATTTTAGCATGTGGTTAAAAAAAAAAAAAGATGGGAAACCAAAGCCCAGGGTCATATGGCTTATCAATGGTGGACCCAGACTCTGACCCCATCTCTCCCTTCATAGTCACCTTGGAACCACAATTGGAGCTAAGCATCTGCATGAGTCATAAAACAGGGTTGGGGCCCCAGCATGCCATTGTGTAAAAAACAAACTCCCTGGCCCTTCTCGAAAACCTATTCAGTGCCCTTTGGCTCACTTTTTGGTACCTGCCCTCTGGGGCAGGATGCCACATGATTTTAGACTTTGGATACCCAGCAAAGAGCGATTTGGGACAAGGACCTCCCAGGTGTTGCTTATGTCTCCTTGTAGAGAGGAGTCTGTTTGCTGAGTGTAGCCTAATTCTAAGGTAGACCAGATGACCAGAAGATGATGAATAAGCGTGTCCTCCAGATCAGATCTGCAGGGAACCCTTGGGTGGTGGATGGGTAAAAATGTGTCAAAAGCAGAAGCAGACAGACTAGCCATGCTTAGCAGTGCAAACCAGAAGCAACTCAGTACACTTCCATGGCGTCCTTGCTCTCTGGGCAAATCACTCAGCTGTCTTCTCTCGGCCTCTGGGTTTGTAAAAAGAATGTAATAATATTCCACACTGGGTCTGGAAAAGCTTGTTGTCCCAGCTAGTGCGGAGGCTGAGGCCCGAAGATTAGGAGTCCAAGGTCCATCTGGGCAACTTAGTGAGACTGCCTCAAAATGAAAACTACTGAAAAGACTGGAGGCTGGGGACATAGCTCAGTTGGTAGAGTGCGTGCTTGAAGCCCATGAAGCCTTGGGTTCCATCCTCGGTACTTCATAAGGTGTGTCATGACACACACCTGTAACCTCAGCACTCAGGAGGGAGGTGTGGACAAAAAAATCAGAACTTAGGGTCACCCTCTGCTATGCAGCTAGTCTGAAGCAAGCATGGGCTACATGAACACACACACACACACATGTATAAATCAATAATAGGGTGCTTATCTAATAGGCTGGAGTATGGAGTTCAATCCCCCAGCACTATAAAAGAAATATGGTCATCCTGGTATTGTTATGGGGGTCAGTGACCAGTGACCCCCATAGAGTCAGGATCATGGCAAAGCCTGTGTGCATGGAGGGTATCACTGCGGAAGACTATAGCCAGGGAAAGCAGTTAGGTCTCTGTTTACAACAACACTCTATGTTGTAAGGGGGAGAGTCTTTGCAACGCTCACAACTGTTCCCCCCGACGGTGTAAAGGCGGGGAAACTGAAACTCGGAGATGCTGGCCTGCTGTTGAGGCCACATTGCTCACAGCTGAACCCACGGTGGGGCTTGAACAGGCTGCGCTGCCTTTTATCCTCCTGCCCCTTTTATATCAAGAGAGCCATGAACTGGCATTCAGCCCAGGGAACTAGGACCCTACCCAGGCTCTCGTTCCACAGTTTAAGCGGCTGAGCCGCTTTCAAGGAGGAGGGGAGAAGGCGGAAGATGAAAAACTTGGGGGGATGAGAGATGGGGAGAAGAGGATGAGAAAGAGAGGAGCGGAGAAGAGGAGGGAAAGAGAATGGGCGGGAGAAAGACAGAGGGCAGGGCAAGCGAGCACACAGGCGCACACCTTGTGCAGACCGCGGCAGTGCAACAGTGCCACCAACTGGTGGAAGCTTCCCTCCGTCACATTCAGCGTCTCCTCCAACGACAACAAGGGCTTCTGTTGTGGGAGGGAACAAACACAGTTACCTAGCAACGGACGCTCTGCCCTCAACTCACCAGCCCCACTTCCCAAAGGGACCAGCCCCTCCCGTTCACATAGGTTCAGCAGCGTTCTAGAGCGCCTCCCTCACCTCCACTGCTCTCCCAGCCCCAGGGGACAACTCTACTTCTGTTGCTGCCACAGCTCTATCGTTCCACCCCTTTCCATAGGCTCCGCCTGCTTGGAGAAGGGAGGGCCCGCTCCACGAGGCTATCCGACCCAGCCAACCGGCCCCTTCATATGAGAGCCGCCAGCATCCCACAGGTTCACCAGGTTGGGCTCTCTTCCCCCTCTTGTCTGGTGCCATCCATTGACTTAACCTGTGCTGCCGGGAACTGAGGGACGGCTTCCCGCTCCAGGCCGTGCAGCTGGGAATGGATGCTGGCTAGAGCTCGCTGGGACAGAGTCAGCCTCTGCGGGGAGGGATAAAAAGAGAGGACGACTCAGGCCAGGGTGTCCACCATGCCATCTGTCCACTAGAATACAGAACTCTAGACATCGGCCCCCTCCGCCTCCCAGGGAACCCAGGAGTGCAGCCCGGCATACGCCCGTGAGGTTCCGCGTTAGCCATCTCCTCGATTCCCGTTTCTTTTGCCCACGTTCCTAACCTGTTGGAAGGGGTTGGAGACCTCCTGGTTGCACAGGAAATAATAGTTGAGGATGTCTGAAGTGGAGGGAGAGAAAGAAACAGGCTATGAGCCTGGGCCCGGGCTCTCCATGAGCAAAATCCGGAGGGCCATAGACCAGGGGACCTTCCCCACCCAGTCTAGAACTTTCTTGGGGTCTCAAAGACCTACAAGTCAGCCGGGCGTTGGTGGCGCACGCCTTAAATCCCAGCACTCGGGAGGCAGAGACAGGTGGATCACTGTGAGTTCGAGACCAGCCTGGTCTACAGAGCGAGTTCCAGGGCAGGCTCCAAAACAATACAGAGAAACCCTGTCTCGAAAAAAAAAAAAAAAAGACCTACAGGTCACTCTGCTGTCCTTTCCTTCCCCCTTTCCTTCCTTTTCTTTTCCTTCCCTCCTCCTCCTGTTTTGTTGTTCATTCCGCTGCTGTTGTTTTGAGACAGTGTCTTATGTAGCCCAAACCAGCTTTGAACTTGTTATATACAGCTGAGGATCGCCTTGAACGTCCGTTCTTTCTTCTTCCACTTCCTAAGTGCTGAGATTTTCGGCACAAGCCGCGTTTCGCGTGGTTGCTGAGAACCAGACTTGCAGCTTGCAAGAAAAGTGCTCTACCAACTGAGCGGCATCTCCGATTCCATTCTGGGTTTGTTTTTGGTTTAGAAACAGGGTGTGACAACGTCTGCATAGCCCAGGCTGCCCTTGAACTCATGCCTCTCAGCCTCCCGATCGCTGGGATTATAGGTGGGCAATATCACACCCCATACTTTGACCTGCCTCTGGAAGCAGATTCACCTGACCTAACTATGCTCCCCTGTTCTCCCGCAGTCAAATCCTCCTGTCCGAGGCCGAGTTCCCCTCACCCTTTGCCTCATACTCAGGGGTGTTTTGATCCTGCCCCTTTACAACCCTGCCAGGATTGGTAGACTATCTGAACTCCACCCTACAATGGACTGGGCACTAGGGGGTGCCAGGGCATGCTGAGGGCCAGCAGGGATTTAGGAGGATCACCTGAGCTGAGCCCTGTCTCCTCCTGGGTCAGGTTCAGCACGTAGGCGTCTGGGTTGGAGCAGAAGTCACTGAGGCCCTGACGAAGGAAGCAGGAAGGACTCAGATCGGAAGTGCCCGCTTTTATATTTCCACAGAACCCAGAGGTCCAGGCTCCAACCCTCCTGCCTCAGACCAGGCATCCAGACTCTCACTCTCCACAGTCTGAGGAGGGAGTACAGTGTGGGCCCCAGCCTCTGCTCTCTCAGGACCCAGCGAACAAGACTGAACCCTCAAAACTGTGACCACGTTCCCCAGACGTTAATCAGGTCACACCCACCCCAGGGTTCAGCACACCCGAATCCAGAGCCCTCTACTTACCACAGCTGTGGCGGCCTCCAGGCCCATGGAACCCCAACTCAGGACAAGCACCAGGAGACTCATGGCGGTCATCCTGGAGGAGGACGTGGTTGGACTCAGGTCTCTCAATCAGCCTCGCCTCTTTCTACACGCCACGTCCAACCTCAGCCCTCCCCAATACCCACCAACCTCTGTAGCCCAGAGGTTTAGAGTCAGAGACTTGGGAGTAAAGCGCGCGTGTGTGTGTGTGGGGGGTAAGGCCCAGACTGACGTCAAATAGAACATCTGTTCAGTTGGGAAAGGACAGGGGAAGGTCTTGGTTGGCAGGTCAACAGCCACTATCCTAGCTGTTCCTGGTCCCTACGAGGCAGCTGTCCACCCATGAGCTAAATTTCCCGGGATTTCATTGCACAGGGTCCGGTAGGTTCTGAGCTAGCTTGCGGGCCCACCATAGCCTGTTTTATTTAGCTGTCCTCTCCCCACGCATTCCACCTCCACGCCGTAAGGTGTGGGGAGCAATCTAGAGTTGATTTCTGAAATTCAGAGCCTGGCTTATTTAAGACTTGATGTATGTACGCCCAGGATTGTGAGGGGTCGAAGAATTCTGGGTCATGGGGTGGTAGGAGATGTTGACAGCTGTTGTCAGCTGGAAGACGTGCCTCCCCCCCGCCCCCCCCGCCCCAGGCATATAACTGCTCATCACAGTGTATTCTATCAGTCTCCAGGCTTTGATGAGGGCCCAGATGCCATAGTTGGGCATCCCTCCCAGAGGGAGTCCACAGACAGTTCTCACCAAGGGAGGAGGAGGATGGGCTCTTCCAATGATGGGCAGGCAGAATTTGAGCCCTACCACAGTACTTCCATGCTATGTGGCCGTGACCTAGCCACAACGGGCTTCTACCACTTCCCACTGTTAAACGGAGGCCAGTGCCTTCATCCCTGGGTGGCTGAGTGTGAGAGGCCCATGAAGTCCTAAGAATGCTATCTGGCACACAGGGGACCGTCCAATAAGAGCACAGGTCTTATGTATCCCCCACATTACTTCAGGTCCCTCATCTGCCACGCAGAGGACCTGGCGGCACTTCCTCCACGGGGCTGTTGTGGTGACCAAGGGAGGAAGCATCTGTGGCATGTCAGAGAGCGCCTCTCCCCCTCCACAGCAAATGCAGTCTCCGTCTTTCCCCGTGACTTTAGCAACGCTGCTGCGTGCTGGAAGCGCGCCTGTTTCCCTCCCCTACGCAATGCGCCCCACTCACACAACCACCAGCCACTTGCTCTGCTTCGCCAGCCCCAGGAGGGTGAAGAGGCAAACCAGAAGCACCAAGAGCAGCAGGAGGACGTAGACCAGCCACCTGCGGGAAGAAGGGTCAAGCAAGACAGTGGGCCTCAGGAGCCCAGCAGGACCTCAGACTCACCCCAGCCCAACCCGATCCTGCAGCCTCCCCGCTGCCCAGTGAAGTTCCTTGGTGAAACGGGGGCCTGGGCCCACAAGACTCTGGAATATTCTTCAGCACAGGGTCTCGAGTTGAAGCACCTGGGGCCTACTCTGACCAAATCACCCAGAAGTTCTGTGGTCTCTGAGTAGGATCCCCAAGCCAGCACTGTAGGGTGTCATTCACCCGGGATCCTATTGCACACCAGAGATATGAAGCCTAGGTCTCAATCCCTCAATTAGCCATGTGACCTATCTGCCTCAGTTCGGTTTCCCTACCAGTAACATGAGTGGCACAACAGGATCAGTTTCAGAATCTGTTGCCAGGTGAATGCATGGACACATGTATAGGTCATAGGAGAGTGGGCTTCACCGGTGAGGCTCATGTTAGCTAAATCACCACGCAGGGGGAGTTCTGAATGCTACATAATATGTGATTAACTAATACACCGGGACTGCGGAGGAGGCTGCATGGAAGGCCCAATCTCAGTGCTTGGTATACTGCAAGTGCTCAATAGTGTCATTCTCAGCAGTCACCGTGTGACTATGGTTTGCCCTGTCTGAGACCTTGTCCGTGTCATACCTCCAGACTCTCTTCTACGGCCACAATGCGTTTGTTGAGGGCATCTCTAATACCAGACGAGTGAGTGTCTGCCGAATATCATTGTCACAGTCACCTCTAGCTCCCCGACCAGGCTTCTGTGATCCTAGGTTGGCCCTTGACACAGAACCTGTGGCCCCTGGACCTAGGCCCACCTGCCTCCCAGCGTCTGATCCCAGCATGCGCCCCCTGCTGGGGGTGTCTGCTGAATGCAAGAAGTAATAACTCGGTGGAGATAACCTGGTATTGCTGCTGCACAATGAACTCAGTTGCCTCCCGGATAACCTAGTAGGCAGGCTTGCTACTGGGTTGGTCCAAGAGGAACTGTGTGTAACGTGATTTTGTTGAATGAATGAGTCAAGGAACGGCTGAGTGAATGAATGAATGAATGAATGAATGAGAGAGGAGATCATTGAGGGGGGTATGTAAGTGTGAGGATGGGTCCTCAGTCTCTAGGTCTGTTCTCACAGCTGGGTTTATCAGCCTCGCCTTAGAATCACAACTGGGTTAATTCTCCACAGTGGAGCTGGCCTACAGGATGCTGAATAGCATCCCCGTCTCCACCTTCCGGGTGAGACAGCAGCTTCCCTTCCAACCAGTGGGACAAATCAGACTGTCTCCAGATACTGTCCCCCATCCGCCCCAGGGACTAGTTTGAGACTATGATGCTTTAAAAAAAAATTAGCAAAGGCCTTTTCCCACCTGTACTCCTCCACAAAAGTCACATCTTCAGCCACCTGCACCGGGCTGAGGGACACTCCTTGCCAGAAGGCCAGTCCCTGCAGGTGCTGAGCCACAGCCTCGGCCTGCCTCCGGGCTCCCCGGGCGGCGGCCACCAGCTCCACGCGTTCTGACAGGACTTCCTCCAGGGTGGTCAGCTCTGTCTTCACCGCCTCGCCCAGCCTCTCCACTGTTTCCAGCACCTGGGGCGATGGATGACATGGTCTCAGGTTTAGGACGGCCTTTTCCAAAGCCTGGGGTTGGGGCTGAGGGATGGGGTGTTGGGGGCGAGGCAGGGGTGAGGAGTGTCAACTGCCTGAGATCTGGGGTCCCGGAACATCCGGAGACTGGGGGAAAGGTGAGTGAAGGCGGGCCTCCCAGGTCCCTGTCATCTGCTCTAAGTCGGCCGGGGTGACATCTGCTCTAAGTCGGCCGGGGTGACATCTGCTCTAAGTCGGCCGGGGGCTTGAGTCCAAGGTAAAGACTCCAGCATTGAAATTGAGTCAAAATGGAAGGACGGGTCTTTTTTTTCGAGACAGGGTTTCTCTGTGGCTTTGGAGGCTGTCCTGGAACTCTCTCTGTAGACCAGGCTGGTCTCGAACTCACAGAGATCCTCCTGCCTCTGCCTCCCGAGTGCTGGGATTAAAGGTGTGCGCCGCCACCACCCGGCTATGGGTGCGTCTTAAGTCTGGAATTTGTATAAGCCTTTCTGAGTCTGGGGTCTCAAATCTGATTCCTTGTCTCTACCCAAGTAGAGCCTCTGAACTGCAACGCCTGCATCTCAGCCCTGAGCTCTGGAACCCTGGAGTAACAGATCTCACAGTGGGAGTCCCAGAGCTTGCATTTGGGCCAAGGATAGGGTCTGTAACCTTGGGCCCGCCTGCAGACTGGGACTGGGGTCGTTGGTGTTTTGTCTCTCTGGCTTGGGATATAAAGGGAAGTGCAGCAGGCCTGGGCCTGTGTGTGAGTCTTCGGTCTGAATCATCTTCTCAATCCAGCTCCAGGTTGCAAGGTTAGGGTTGACACACGGTCTGAGTTTGCAATTCTGAGTCTGGGGATTAGGTTTCTGGTCTGGGATCTGCTTTGGTTTTGGTTCCTTTTGTTCCTCAGTGGGGGACCCCATTCCCATGCGGAGACTCTGCAGTCCGGCTAGCGGGCTGGCCCCCTCACCAGGTCATCAATGGTGCTGAGCGTGTGATTGGCGTGCAGCAGCGCTGAGCTGAGCTGGGACACCCCATCGCTGGTCTCGCTGTTGCCATAGAAACCAATGCCAATGCCCGCACTGAGAGAAGAAGGAAGAAGAAACACCAACCAGCCTCAGACCCTGGAGGGCAGGCACCAGGACTCCGCACGTACCCGTCCTCCCCTTTGCGGCATTTGCCTATCCCAACTCTGCGTCCACCCTATTGGTTCATTCTCCGTGGGAAAAAGAACAGCTCAAGGTTGGCCGCCACCAGTTGCCAAGGTAACCTGAAGACCTCACCCCACCCCCCCAAAGCTGGAGAGACGTCATTGTGATGCTAATGGTGGGTGGAGTGGTGGAAAAGGAGCCCCAGATTTAACTCGCACCTCCCCAGAGTGGAACCCTGGTTTTGCCTAGCCCTGGATAAAAGGTTATCAATTCCCGATTATGATCAGCTCACAACCAACTGCCACATCCTTTGCCAAAACACCCAGAATTCACATCCTTTTCTGAGGAGGCATTAGGCCATCAACACCTGGCTCCTCCTAGCCCAGGTGTTCCATGCCCCTGCCTCCTAAAGGTTCTTGGGAGCCCAAGGTCCCAGGCCCTATTCTTTTGTAAAAGGCATTGTGCCCAGAGCTCTTAGCCTTTCCCTCTGCTGCCCAGGGATCCAGGCATCTGGCCAGCTGGAAGAGGAGTAAGAGAATGTGGGAGGGAGGGCTGCAGGCCAGGCCAGGAGCTGGGCCCCGGTCCCTGCGCAGCCAACACACAGACTTCCCATTGTAGGGCTTGAATATGGGGACCCACTTTCCTCCCTGAGTCTGCGCCTCGCTCCGGAGGGGGCGAGAGCCTGATGGCCTCACAGTTCCCAGCCTTGAGCTGCTCAGGCCCCCACCCCGTCCCCTGGATGGGAGCCTACTGCCCCTGCCCCATTGTTCAGAACCCTACAAAGCTCCTCTTGTTCCCAGACTCTGAGGGGGCTGGGGCTGCGTCTCTCCCCCACTGATCCTTTGTCAGCGTCCCCCGTCCTACCCCCATTCTGGAGAGCCTGGTGAGAAAACATCTTGGATATAGGGCGCCCAACCCCCATAGACTCCCAAACACACACCCCCTTCTTCCTACAATAAGGAAGAGTGGCCCACAGCCCAGGCTGGGGTGATTACTCCAGGACATAGCCCCTGCTGGCTGGAGGGGACACCACATTCTTATAGGGCTCCTGCTGACCATACATGAGGTTCCCGGTGGGTCTCAGTCCCCTCGTGTCCTAAGTCCTCTCGTATGTGATGTAAGCCAGATAACTAACCATGACCTAGGCAATCTTGATGTGAAGTTCACTGAAGTTCCTATTGAGGGACCTGGGTTTGTTTTTTTTTTTTTTTTTTTTTTTTTCCCTGAGTCTGTCTCTCCACGTATGGGCTTGAAAAGTCTTGTTCCCTCCCCTCCCTGAACTTCCCTCATTCAGAGCCAGGTGTGGCCATCTTCAACACAGTTTCTTAACATGAAAAAGACTCAGACCCAGCTTGGGTGTGGGCTGGACAGGAGCTGCTGCTGGTGACCCTGTGAGGTCTGGTTGTTTCCCTGACTGGGACTCTGACTGAAGTCACAGAGTGCCTAGGTTGGCGCGGTCAGTGTCTGGCACATGGTACTTATGCTCCGTTGTTGAATGAATTAACTCTTTGATCAGTGTTAACTCAGAGGATACCCCCAGCACCCAGGCAATGTACACTTTCTAGTCTTACTGGAACTAGGGTTTGGGTAGTACTGCAAAACCCACTTCATAGATGTGGAAACTGAGGTCTAGAGAGAGTATCTCATTCCCCTTAGGTAGCACAACTGGCTAACAGAGAACCATTAAAAACCCCAAACCTGTCCCAGGCTTTCAATTCTGCAATAGGCTTCATCCCCCTTAGGGCTCTAGCTCTCCACTCACTAAGCAGACACTCTCAATGCCTAGGGATTCTCTCCCCTAACTCCGGGGCCCACACCCCAAGATGCGGAAGAAGACTAACAGCAAGTGTAGGGAGCTCTGTCTGCACTCCCCACCCACCCTGGGGCCCCATTACCAGCCCACGAGAAGGGCAGCGATACAGCTCCAGGTGACGCAGCCTCCTCCGGGTGGGGGACTCTTGGCCCCAGGGGGGTTCCGGGGGCCGGCAGCAGCAGAAGCGGATGAGGTAGACAGCAATGAAGATGAGGCTCAGGCCCAAACCCAGGCCAGCCAAGGCTGCCACCAGCAGCAGGGCCTGAGGAAGAGGTGAGGAGAAGCCTCAGAGGGTACATTCATGTCCCAGACAAGAAGTTCCTCCTCGGAGCCGGGCGATGGTGGTGCACGCCTTTAATCCCAGCACTCGGGAGGCAGAGGCAGGCGGATCTCTGTGAGTTTGAGACCAGCCTGGTCTACAGAGCTAGTTCCAGGACAGCCTCCAAAACAATACAGAGAAACCCTGTCTCGGAAAAAACCAAAAACAAAAGTTCCTCCTCGGCTGTGTGGCAAGGGGTTGGGGGAGGGGGCTTGGGGGGAGCGAAGCCCAGCCCCCTGATGACGTTACTCAGGCTGTGGGAAAACATGAGATACCCATTCTCCATATTGGCAACTGAGGCTCATCCAGAATTTAGCGCTAGATTGCTGGAGGCAGCGTCCACGTAGGGGGTCCCAGGTTTTGGGTTCCTGTCAGTTCTTCCCAGGTTGCGTGGCCTCAAAAAGGCCCCTCCTCTCTCTGAGCTTCCTCACTGCAACCAGGCAATTGGAATGCTGCATGTCCCGAGGCCTTCCTGAGGTTCGCTCTGAACCAACCATATGGCATGAAGGGCA